ACAAAGCGAAACCGAAGATATGCAGGATTCAACGCTGTACTAGTCGCGACACTGGAATTAGTCTAATCTGAAGAATTTCTTTAGGTCGAATTCCATTGGTGTGTGTCTCACGCTTTCCAAATATTCATACGCAGTCTGTAGCACCTGCATCCCTCCTCATTGTAACAATGTCTCCACTCAGCTTGCAGTTGGCCACCAATATAACACAAGTGTGTTTTCACTGTGCAAACCTTGTCTTGTATGCATTCCATCATGAAATCAATGGTGTTCATATTCACAGCATACCTCATTGAGGACAAATCGAATTGGGGATGGAGAGTTGCTGTAGAGAGAATGAGAGGAATGCAGTGAATGTATTTGAGGGAAGGAAACAATTCTACTCCATCATAAAATGCATATCACTCAAATCATCACCTGAACAAAGTATACTTATGGATTGTTTATCGTCTATGAAAAGTGACTCTTGGCAAATTTTCATACATCGATGTATGCATGGAGAGTGATGAATTCAGTTCGTCATGATATTATTTTGGTGTTCGTCGATATGGAACAGGAATCATCACTACCGAATTTCACCTTCAAATGTCTGGTCAGTTGGCAATGATGACAATACAGGAAGTTATCTCACTTTCGTATGAGGCGGTGAACAGACAGAGGAATCAACCAGCATTCTTCACACCAGAGCTGTGTACATATCAGATTACAAATGAATACTTCGATAATGGATTGAAAGGTACACTGGTGCTGGGGTTGATTTACACGAGTGAAGAATGAGGACTAATTTCACTGCGTGGAGTGATGTGAAAGTATGCTTGTCATGTCTTTCGACGTTATTTTCTGTTCGTTGAATGGGAGAGGAGTGCAAACCTCCCTTATACCTATATCACATTCATCACCGTTGAAGGCATTGATACTAGAGACGGTATTGGAATCGTCCAAGTGAGTTGTGAGTGAATGTATTCAAACATATTTGTATACACATTAATCCACGTGTATGTAGGTTAAGAGACGGTAGGATATTACGCACACACTGATGACCGCTGGACATCACTATTAACGCTAACATGTGGTAAACGTGTTTCTCGTGGCTCAGCTGGCACAGCGTCCCTCTACTCGACCCGTCGCTACTGATTCAATTCACTGAGATATTCACCCACTCTTCGCGTATCCAATCATCACTCTCAACACAGCCATATTAAAAAAAATATTCAAAATATCTCAATGCATCAATTTTACTTCAGCGAAATATATCGAACTCACGATTAAGAATGTCAGCTTTAGTTACATTCACACATATTTCGAAGTGTTTTATGGGCTCACATTGCGAATGCGTTTCAGTGGATTTACATTCGTTGAAATGACACAATAAAACGATCACCTGTGATAAGAAAAACAAACATGAAATGAAATATGTTTGAGGACAATGAGAGAACGTACGCTGAAGCAGACGAATACAGTTTTCGCAGATGAGTTCATTCTCTCAGTTTTCTAATACACACGACAATGTGAATATACTTCAGATGGTTTACGCCAGTTAACAATTTTCACTATGCATATATATATATATATATCTGTCTATGTATGAGTAAACAAACCAAGCGGGTCAAATCCACGTAGACATCTTCTTATTGCTAACTAATTAGTAAATTCCATATTTAGTAATTATGCGACTAATATTGTGTCTATCAGTTAAGGCAGAAAATGAAGTCATCTATGAAAACTGTATTCATCTGCTTCAGCGTATCTACTACTAGAAGTATATTTAGTAGTAATATCACTATCACTATTTTCAGTGTTATTATTAGTATTATCATAATTATCATTATTATTATTATTATTATTATAATTATGATGACTAATTGCAGAGTAGAAAGGCACAATCATGTTATCCAATGGACAACTCATCGTCATGAGTTCATGTTTAAATATGTTTCTGTTAACTATTAATTAATTCTGTATTCTAATTTTAGGCCAGATAGGATGTGATGGATTACAATAGTGTTCGCTTAGTTATTCTTTT